AAGGTAGGCTTCCCAGAAGAGAGGACATCTAGGCTGGCCGTGGAAAGGGCAAGTGGAAATGAGTGGGGTTGGGGAAATGTGTGTGGGGAGGAGGGTGGGGAGATAGAAAATTCCAGGCTGAAGGAATAACCGTGCAAAGGTGGTTCACGGAGCAGCATGGAGACCAGGGTGGCTGGAGCGTGTGGGTGAGGAGCTGGAGACTGAGTCAGGCCACAGGACCCAAGGCCACGGAGGAGTGTGCAAAGTTCTGAGGGCAGTGGGGAGCCGCCGAGGACTTCAAATGGGGTGGGGGTGGGGGGCGGCCAACAGTCCAGGTACTCTGTCCACTGTCCCCAGTGCAGTGCACGGCAGCAATGGTGCCTCCCGAGGTTAGGTGGGCATGATACTCACCTCAGCGGCTGGTGTTAGAACCAGTGACGGGTCAGTAAACAGCCTCTTTCACCCTCCATGAGGAGCCCGGCAGCTGCTGCTTCCCTTCCCCCACCCCTGCACGTGGAGCAGTTACCAGATTGAAACAGGCTGGGCCTTTGAGCCCAGCCTGCTCCCCAATCACTGCAATCTCTTGATCCACAATCCCTGGGCTCTGGGTGGTGGCCATATGGCTCAGGAGGGAGTCCCAGAGCTCTCAGCTCCCTGAGGCTCTTCCCCAGGGCCCTGAAGGACCGCGGGGGCTCCAAGGAGCACCCAGCCAGAGACTGGGAGTAGGTGAGGCAAGGTTACCTATTCTCTCCTCACCATAAATTACGTGCCAGTAGGGGCACTGGAAGGCATCCTCACAGAACCTCCCACTCAGTCTAGAAGCCTTGATCTAGCATCTGAACAGGTGGCTGGCCATCCAGGCTCCACTTGGATACCTCCAAAGATGGGGAGCTCACCACCACAAATCCATCATGGGACAAGTCATCAACTCTGAGAGTTGAACTAGAGAGGCATGACATGGACTCTATGACATTAGAATCATGGTCAGCCAAACTAGAAGACACTTTTCTTCCACAGGAGTTAAAGCAGCTCCCTATCGTGGAGAGGCACTGGGATCAGGGGAAGCCCCACAGGGTTCTGAATCAGAAACCCCTGTTCCAGTCTTGACTCCACAGCTTCCCAGCTAGGTGGCTTGGCCAGTTATTTCCCCCTCCCTGAGATCGATTTTCCTTCTCTGTAACTTCAGCTGCATAGTCCAATAAGGCAGCCACTAGTCATAAGTGGGTTACTGAACCCTCAAAATGTGGCTAGTGCAGCTGAGGAACTTAACTTTTTTAAGAAATTATTTTAAATTAAAAATTTAACACCAGAAGCAGTATAAACATTTTTATATTGATTATGTATTGAAATGATAATATTTTGGATAGACCGGGTTAAAGTATTAAAATGAATTTCACAAAAAAATGAATTTCACTTATTTTTTTCACTTTTTACAATGGGACCACTAGGAAATTTAAAATTTTACATTTGTGGCCTAGCTTGTAATTCCGTAGGGCAGTGCCGACTTAGAATGTTTTTTAAGGATCAAATGAGGTGGATGTTCAGGTGTTTGGGGACATTTAAGGTCCAGATTATGGTTTCTGTGGCTGCCAGGTACTCAAGGGATTGTGTTTCCCATCACACGAGCAAGACATGCTCATTCTAGAAATAACAGAGAACGTGGATAAACAGTACAACAGAACGAAAATCACCCATAATCCCACCACCCAAAGATAGCTACTGTAAACTCTCCCTTGCTAGTGTTTTTTTCTGTGCATATCCACGTGAGTCCTTGCAAGCCACCCTACCCCAGCTTACAGGTTCTCAGAAAGGTCACTTTAACAGCTTGGCCCAAAAGTGTGGGACCTCAAGGAGCCCCCACTTGTCAAAGGCGGGACCTTGAACTTGCTTTCTTGTTACCATGAGTCCCTGGAGTGGCCCATGTGCACGTGGGGCCCAGGCTTTCCTCGTACTGAGCTCCCAGTCTTCTTGGCCTCCGCCAACGCCCACGGTCACCAACCTGGCTGCTCCGTCATCAGCCGTTGCCAGCGGCTCCCTCCCCGCGAGCTCCCGCCTTCGCTACTCACCTCCCTCTCCAGCCAGTAGGAAAACCCTTCCCATTTTGGAGGCTCCACAGGGGAACTGCTTGGAGCCCAGGTGATGGAATTCTTTCCATGTTTTCCATCAGCCCTCTCCTTTCCAGAGCCCCTGAGTCCAGGGCCTCTCTTGCTGTATCTAGAACCTACACTCCCTCCCTTCCCACATCCTGGTCAGTCCCTGAGTGGGAACCACCTCTGTGTTAGACCTCTTCTTCTTCGGGTGGCCTTCGGAGGGGCCCTTTGTCCCTTTCTGCAATGTGTTACGGACACGCTTCTCGAGCACAATCCCTCAAGCATGTCTGCGCAGGTGCATCTGGACTGCAAACCTGGAGAAGGGTCTCTGTCACAGGAGGCTCTACGGCTCCCTGCAGAGCTACGGACTAGCTCGGACCCTGCTTTCTCCACCTAACCTTCAATAGGAACATCTTTCCAATGACACCATTGCTTCTAATGGTTGCTCAGAACGCCACTGTGTGGGTATGCTGTAATTTTTAATCTCATTCTGCATTGACGAACTAGGGGCCTGAGTCCCGGTCTAATTCTGCATTGACATTCTTAGGTCCGTCCTAGATGTTTGCTCTCACAAATACCACTTTAGGGTCCCTCCCAGTACACTTCACTTAGATGTTCTCAAATCTGACGAGTTCTCCCTTTTCAGACAGCCAGCCAATTCTGTGGGATGAATTGTACTGGACCCCACTTTTCCCTCTGTCCCCCTTGGCCTGGCACTCAAGGCCACCCCCACTCCTGAGCATAGTCTGTCTGTCCCCCATATCACCGTTCCTCGAATTTGACCTAAGCTCTGACCACACTGTGCCCACACTTGCCAGCCTCCCTGTTGGCTACTGCGGTCTCATTGCCTGGGATATCTGCTCCATCTCCAAATCCTCCTCATCCTCCCAAGAACCACTCATATGCCCCCTCCTCCAGGAAGCCCTTCCTGACTCTCCTAGCTAGAAGTGACCCCTCCCTCCTCTGAGTAAAGAGAGCACCTCCTTGTCCTCTTGCCTATGAGACTAATGCAGCCACCCTGGCTCCTGGTTCCTTGAGTCCACTTGTCCTGGAGTGTCTTACTCTGTCTCCTTCCTGCCCTCCTGCCACACCAGGAGCAGCTTGAGGCTGGGGAGAGATTCTGATTTCTTTCTGTGGACACAGGGCATGGCACGGAGTGGGCATGCACTAAAGGTTTGAATAAATACATGAAGGGAAGAGGACAGGCCTGGAGTTGGGGCCTGCGTTCTGGTCCAGCTGCTGCTAGTGTTCCGTGTGACCTCAGGCAGGTCGTCCTCTCAGGGCCCCTGCTTCCCTGTGAGCTGAAGCAGTTGGACTTCGCTGTAGGGAATTCTGTTGCGGTCAGCAGGCTGTTTGGCCCTCGGCTGATGTGCTGGCCCCAGGCTGGGGATAATCTCTCTGGTGCATAATAATTGCAGGGCAGCCCCCCATTTCCCTTGCCCGCACAATCCCATTATGAGCCCTTCAGGATTTATGTCTGAGACCCACCGTAAGCCCATCACTAACATATGGCATACTGGCAGACAAGGGATGAACAGAGATTGTAAATATTCATTCATTCATTCCTTCATTCAGCAAGCTGCTACCGAGCTACACTCAGCTGGGTCGCGTGCCTGACTCTGTGGACCCATCACTGAACAGACCCAGACCCCGGCCCAGTCCCGGAGGAACTTCCAGTAAACAGTCAGCAACTCAGTGAGGTGGGGGCTGGGGCAAAGGACAGCACAGGGCCTGTGGAAGCCCAGAGAAGGAGCCTTTGCCCCAGCCAGTGGTCAGGGAAGGCTTCCTGGAGGAGGGGACCCTTCAACTGTGTCTTAACAGAGCAAGGAAGCGCAGGGCACTCACGCAGCAGCTACAGCCTGAAGTGGGGAGAAGCTTACAGTGCTCAGCTTGATGCTGGGTGCCGCTTGAGTGTAGTCTAATGATAAGAGGAGCAGGATGGGGAGGGATTATCCACTCTTGCTTACATGATCAACACCAGACAAATACTTCCTTTATCTGAAAGAATGAAAGGGCTTTGGGGAAAAATCCTTTTGGCAGCAAAGCAAAGCACAAGCATCTCCTTAACTAATCTCTCAACCCCACCCCACCAACAGCCAAGAGAAGAGTAACTCTGAGCTGACCTGCACAGGTAGGCCCAGAGCCCAGGGCAAAGCAGGGTGGTCAGGAGCCACGGGGAGAGAGACCCACAAGCCCCCTCAACACAACCTCCCAAGACGATGACGAAGGGGAATCTGGGCTCAGGTGGTAACCTAAGATGGCCATAGGGTGGCACCTCTCCAAGAAACCACGGCCCCATTTCAGAGATGGGATCCTGAGGCCCAAAGATGTCCCACAAGCAGTGGGCAGAGCCAGGACTAGGACCCAGCCTAGGCTCTAACTCACTCCCATCATTAGTTCATTCAGCAAGCCTGCAGTAACCCCCTGCCTGATAGCAGCCCTGAGAGCTCACATTCCACACGCACTGGGGACCCACAGAGAAGTCACACCTGCCCCTCTCCTCTCAGGTCCTCAGTCTGATGAAAGAGACAGACAGGGATAGCCAGGGTCATGACAGAGGCCAAGGACTGTCCCTGGGGAGAGGCAGGTAGTCCAAGATGTCACCAGAGTGGTGACATTGCGCTTGGTCTTACCTAGTGAGTAGCACTTTGGCCGAGTGGAGGAACCTGGTAATGACACCAGACAAAGGAAACAGCACTGGCAAGGGCCTGGAGGCGTGCAAGGGTGTGGCGGCTGCCCCCGGGCGTGGACCAGAGAACAGAGCAAGAAACCGGGCTAGAGGGACCACAGGACTGGATTGCTGGGGGGGGGGCACATGCCTGCACGGTCCCTCCAGCTCTGTGAGGGTGCTGGGCACAGCCAGGAGGGGTGTGAGTGGGTCCGCCTGAGTGGCCCCCCACCCCCAGACCCTGACCCACATCGCTCTCCCAGCTTGATGTCCGGCCTCGCTTCCCTGGATGCCAAGACCTCCAGCCGCCTGGGCATCCTCACCGTGGCGTACTACCTGTGGACCACCTTCATGGCAGTCATCGTGGGCATCATCATGGTCTCCATCATTCACCCAGGCGGGGTGGCCCAGAAGGAGACGACAGAGCAGAGCAGGAAGGCCATCATGAGCTCTGCCGATGCCCTGCTGGACCTCATCCGGTAACTCTCACCCTGACCCCCTGCTTGGGAACGCCATACCTGGGCTGGGGCCACTGGCTCCACAGGCCTGGCCCCCCATGTCTGCCGGAGGCTGCATAGGGCACGGGGAGGGGGTGCCCAGGGTCTGCTCTTGATTTCGTGTGGCCACAGAAGCCACACAAACAGCTCAGCCCCTGTGCAGCCCGCTGGGTTCACACTGCACTGTGTGCGTCCGTCAGACTGGGAGCACCTTGAGGGCAGGACAGGGGTATGGGAGCCACGGCCCAGCACGCAGCCGGGCACCAGGGAGGTTATCAGTGGCTGTTTGCTGACTGAGCTTGCTTGTGTGCACCCAGCCTCTACTGAGGAAGGCCAGCAGTCACTCCCCTCACCACCTGTTCCTTCTTGGTCCTCTTCTTGCAGACAAGGGAGTGAGGCTCAAAGAGATGAAGTGACTTTTCCAGGGTCATCCCGTGGGCAGGTCACGGAGCCAGGATTTTTGCCCGGTGGTGCCCCTGCCTGAGCCACGTGGACACTGCTAACCATGTGTGTCAGGGACCTGAGCCCTCCTCCCAGAAAGCGCTGTAGACCCAGCGATACATCCAAGTCCAAATCCCTTTTCCCAAGACTCCATGCAGGCCATGCACCTCCTCTCCATCACTCATTCACCCCTGCCAATGCCCGCCCTGTGCCAGGCACTCAAGCCTGGCCCTAGTTCCAGAGGAGAGAAAGGTTCACGAATAGACAGCAACAGCATGGGGGCGGGAGTCACGATGAGGGAGGCAGGGGCTGTAGGTGAGAGCGAACAGCAGGCTCAGGGGAGGCAAAGGGAGGGATGAGTGGCAGGACCAGGGAGCCAGGAGCCCATTCTTCGTGAAGGCAAAGGTGTGCAAAGGTCCTGAGCTGAGAGGGAAAGTGTGGGGAGATGTCCTCACCTGCTCAGCGTGACTGGGGCACGGGGGGAAGTGGGTTTGGGGTGGGGACAGTCACTGCTGGAGAAGCAAAGGGGTCCTATCACGAAGGACAATGTAACCCAGGCTGAAAGCTGTGTTTTATCCTAAAGGCCATAGGAAATGGGCTTGAAACACAGAAGCGGCTTGATCCCATTCAAAAGGCTCGCTCTGCTGCAGAGGGGGGGTGAATGGGGCGTGAGGGGAGAAGGGGAGGACAGGCAGGGAGAGGGACACGATGGTGGCCCTGGGCACAGGGAGAGGGCAGACTGAAGGCTGCTCGGAAGGTAAAACCAGCAGGAGCCGCGCAGGGCAGAAGGGAGGAGGGCATGGAGGAGGGGGCGGTGCTGATCCCAATGGCCTGAACACCCAGCTGTGTGGTCACCGAGTCGCAGGACAATGCTAGAGCAGGTGTGGACATCCTGGGGAAGGTGTCCACTGGTGGTTGGCTGGTGGATCTGAGTCTTCGGGAGAGTCTGAGCTGGAGACGGAGGGTGGCAGGCTGCCCATCTTGGGCCACCATCTCTCATATCCTGCATCCAATTTGTTGGCAAATTCTGTCAGCTCTACCTTCAAAATAATATCCCTTGTCCCTTCTGTCCTCCTGTGCCACTCTCACATCTCCCAGACCACTATCACATCTCACTAGAGGGTCCAACCGGGTCACCCTGCTTTCTCTCTGCTTCCCTCCAGTCTGGTCTCAGCCCAGCAGCCAGAGGGATCCTGCTCATGACTCATCACATGTCAACACACTCCGCAATGTTCACTATGGCCTATAGGCCATTCCTGCTTGATGCACCACCACATACCCACGGCCTGTGATCTCTGCTCCAACTCTCCCTCCCCTCCCTCCAGCCCTGCGGGCCTCCTGCCAGTCCCCAAATATCTGTAAGATCCCGTCCTGGTGCCTTGTCCTCATCGCAGCCTCTGCCTGGCTGGACCTTCCTGTAGGGATTAATGGCTCCTCCCCTCACTCCACCTCTGCTCCGTGTCACCTCCTAACCTCTGTCACACTCTCTCCTCATAGACTTTATTACTACCTGACATCCTGTGTGTTTGTTTCTTCTTGTGACTCTATCAGGGCATAAGATGTTCCACAAGGGCTAGATTGTTACAAATCCGTTCCCTGCTGCACCCTGGAGCCGAGAACAGCTCTGAGGAGGGGCTCAGTGTTTGCTGAAGGCAGACACGGGATACAGGGTCACTGACGGGGTTGGGGTCTGAGCCAGGAGAGGAGACTCACTGGCACAGGAAGAAGGTGCCACGCATGTGGCCCCGAGGCCCGGGCTAAGTCTTGGCCCCCACCACATTAGAGGTTTGCGTAGAGCTGACAGAGCAGGAGCAAGCAGAGGGCCAGGAGGGGAACCAGGAGAGCAGATATCCTAGAGGCCAAGGGAAGAATAATTTCGAGAAGCTTCATTTCTAAGATCCATTATTTCTAAGATTTGGTGGCTATGATTCATCCTTTCTTGGATTCTATGATTCGAAACAGCCTTTCCTCGTGGTGGAAGGAGCTGGTGCTCGGGAGTCCCCGCCCTCCCCACCAGGGCCTCCCCTGCTGAGGGGCTGAGGGCTCTGGATCGGACACACGTGTCAGAGTCAAATGTTCCAGGAGTGGCTCCTGCTCTTGGTTGCTTTTCACGTGGTGAAAATTGATCCTTCTGGTTTGAGGCTTTTCCCCAGTTGCTCTCAACCCCAAGGCAAGTTGTTTTGCAAAGCTGAGTGGTTTGACATCACGGTCACTGTTTCTTAGTCAGAGAGTGGGGCAGCAGAGAGCGGTCATATGCTTCCGGGGACAGGGAACCATTACCTTGGGGATGGGAGGTCTTGTCACAACTCTGTCAATAAGACACAGTGTGGCCCTTCCAGGACTCAGTTTCCCCAGCAGTTTTCAAGATCCCTTCTAGCTCTGTGGTTCTGAAGCACAAAGGCCTACACACCAGTGAGGAAGCTGCAGGACTTGAGCAGAAGCTCCTGGAGGTGGGTTCTGGGAGATGAGGTTGGGAGGACAGTACAGAATCCAACCTTGAAGACCTTGAAGCCAGGCTGAAAGGTTGGCTGTTATGCTTTAGAAACAGGAAGCTGGTGAGTTTGGGAAGGATGGACTAGAGCAGGGCAGAGTGGTCAGGATGTGACTGGAGGCAGGGGGATGCCTTGTTTGGGGTGCAGTCACTTCCACTCCATTCTCCCCCCCTTTATAAGGCACCTGCTCTGGGTGAAGACACTGTGCTGAGAGGGGCAAATGCAAGTCCTGCACCAGGCTGTCCTATTAGGACAGACAGAGAAGAAGAATGCACTGGACACTCTCAGAGATTCTTCTTAGATGCTCTGACATTCTGAGAGGCTGTGCAGAAAATGAGAACACCAGGACGGAGGCGGCCCCCTCACCCTCGCTGTGGCCCAGAGCAGGTGGCCAGCGAGCATTGATAACTGAGAACAGGGACAGCCAGGGCAGGGAACTGGGAAGTGTGGGCAGGTGTGACACAGGAAAAGTCACAAAGATGTAGGGGACAAGGGAGCACAGGAATAAGGCCAGCGGCACACCTCAGGGCCGGGAAGATAGCCATCTCTCAAAGATGATTCCAGAGGAACACAACAGGCCATGTCCCTGGACAACTCACAGAGACATGAATTCATTTCCCAAGGCTCCAGAAAACCGACGTCTGCTCAGAGTTCAGCCTCACAGAAAACCACCCAAACAAGTGGATGCTAATCAGAGCTGGGCCCCTTCTTTTTTTTCCAATCTTATTAAAACACCAGAGAGATGAAGTAATGACTTGGCTCTATTTATAGCTCCCAGTCACCCTCTCAGGGATCGGATGCAGCTCTCAGGAGCCGTGCTTGGGAAGGAACAACCCCCACCTGGGAGGTTGAGGACATGGGATTAAGGGCAAATTTGGAATGTCACAGTCTTGGGACATAGAATAGGTAAGAAGAGGAAGTGGCAGGCTGTGGCCCTGCCCCAAGCGCATGCGGGAAGGCCCAGGCCGGAGGGTGCCTGTACTTGATGTACATGGCTATTAATGTCTCTCAAGCACATTCCATGCGCATTTATGCCACCGGGAGCCTGGAAAGTCTTCCCATGGGCATTCAAAGTCAAAAGAAAATGTACATTTTCCTGTTTAATAATCAAAAGTGTAATTCTTCATTAAAGTTTGCAGGATGAGTTCATCATCACATGAGCACGTGTATTAGTTAGGAGTTGCTGTTGGAGGGTAGTTAGAGAAACCCAGAGCAGCAGAGGCTGAATTGCGGTAAAGGCTCATTTTCTCCCAAATCAGCAGTCCAGCGGTGGGCAGCTTATGGGCAGCAGGATCCCATGCTCCCCCCACCATGTTTACCACTTGGCTTTTGTCATCAGTGTATCTCATGGTCCAAGAAGGCTGCTGAAGCTCTAGCTATTACATCCATGTTCCAGGCAGAAGGAAGACAGTTGGAGGAAAGGACCAAAGGGTCCTGGCTGACTGGGCACCTTTTCAAGAGTTTTCTGAGAGCACCACCCAATGACTCCCACTTCATCTCCTGGGCCACCCTTTGGTGAGCGAGGCTGGGAAATGGGGTTTGACGGCAGAGCCCCACTGGTCCCGTAACATGCCGGGGCTCCTGTTGGTAAGGAAGGAGAGAATGGAGACTGGGTAGGCAACTAGCTAACCTGGCCACAACCCACGTTTTAAATTATTCTAATTTTCAAGGAGATTGTAAAGAAATGTACATCCTAGGCGTAAGCTTCATTTGGTCTCTTGCAATTTGAATGTTCCTACTTTCTGCTCAGGCTAAAGCAGCCTTCCCTCGAAGTTTCATTAGAAAACCACTGTGTAAGTCCCTCGCGCCTCGGGGGTTCTGCCCAGGAGAGATTTTCAAACTCTGAAGCACTGGTACAGCCTGGGCGTCCTCCCCTCCGGTCACGAGGGCCCAGTGGACTGGTGCCTTCTGGCAGCTCTGTGCCTGGTGAGGCCCCAGCACTAACCCTGACTTCGGTGCTTCGGATCTGCTTGATGTAAAAAACCCTTGCAGGCAGCTACTATTCTGGTGGCAGGAAGCTGCTTATAACTAGGGGGGGAAAAGCCTCATTTGA